CCTAGCATCCTGGAAAACACCGTACCTTGGAGGGTATACAGGACTGACAGGTTTTTTATTGTGTTTAAGGAGCATCTAGCAAAAGTGTTTCTCCAGGTATGTTCAGGTTCGGTGGTCAGCACTCACTCTGAGCACTGATGGTCTGCAACAGCCAGCTTAGGCTTTACATGTAAATCGTGCACTGAGTTTTAATTGGGTCTAACCCACTTGGCTGATGAGGCCACACCGAGCACTGACATCATACTTAATGACTCACTAGTTAATTTTCTCCCTTTCTGTTTGGTGCCATGTCTAGGATTGATTTGTAAATTTTTTTGGTGTACTTCAGACTGTGGGGTTTTTCTTGTCCAAGTCTGTATTTGTGCTTTTGATACTGTTTTCGATTTAATTTCTCATTCTTATTTAACAGCTTATTAAAACAATTACATTTTCAGAAAATTTGCAAGGGAAGGGGCTTCTCTAGAGCTGCTAGAATAAAATCAGTTTCTGATAGTCTCTTGAAAGCATTAGCATGATAATGAGACTGTGCTATTATGATTCGTCTGTGAAATGATGGAAGTTGGGTTTTTTTGGGCACTGCATTCTGTATTTCTCTGAGTAGTTCATTGTGAGACAGGGATTTATAGCTGAGATATGGTTGCCAAATTGTAGTCCAGGTAGGGAACCAATGAAACTGGGAGGAGGTTGGTCATTTTCACAGTAACCCTTTGCTAACACGGAAGCAGGCTGCTTGACTTAAGAAGGAACTGTTAGGAAAGTGGTAGTGATGTCTTACTCAGGCAGAGCTTCCAGTAGAAGCAAAGTGTTTTGCCCTCTGATGAACATGCTTATGCTTAACGTAAGTTAAATGCTGAGCTTTGAAATACAGCTCTTACAAACCCCTGCTGATACCCCCTTTGTGAGAGCAGAGGATGTGAACATTTCTGCCAACACATGTTCCTCTAGTTACTGTGAGTAAAGTTAATTTTGTGTCTAAGGACACCTATCGTATCACGACCTATGACTTCTCTACTTATTCGCATAAGTGTTTTGGTGGTGTGTTTTTTTTTGTTTTGGATCTCAGTAGTTTGAAATGCAGCAAACTTAATTTTCTGATAGCTGTAAATATTGGGCACGCTTTGTACGGTACTTTTTTAAGGATGGTTTTTAAGTTAGTAATGTTGGCCTGCAAACCAGCAGTGGCTTGTATGACTTTGTTCTGATACTTTGAGCTGTGTTACATGTTTTTAACTGACATACTCCTATGTCTTCCAAACTTTTGAGTTATTTAATTTGCCTCAATATTTTCAACACCTTTTTCTTTTTAAAGTAAGTGGATGAAAAGTGTATCGGTGCGTTATCCTGGCCAACTTAGGGTGCAAGTGACCAGCTTTAATAGACAGGATTGGGTTTATTTTCTCTAGGCCACCAACCCTTAGAAAAAGGAATGCAACACACTGGAGCAGAGTTGTACATGTAAGGGTATTGCCATCAGTGGAAATGCAGTACATCAGCACAATTGTTTGAATAGGTTGGTCACACACACAGCTGAGCAGGGGATACATGGGTGTGCTATACTGGAGCACTGAACTTTTTACTTTTGCATTTTGCATTATGTATGAGAAGTGCGTGATGATAAAGTTGGAGAAGGCATTACCAATTGGTTATGTAATATCTTGATTCTGAGGCATGATCCTGCCGGGTAAAATGTGCACGTTGGGTGTGGTGAGGAGGAGTATCTGTGTTGTATGCTTCTCATGTAGGCTTTTCTCCCCTACCTGTCGCTCAGACGGAGATGAGTGAACACACAAGCTTGTGGATGGTAATGCATGACTCATAGTTTGTATTCTCTATCTGCATAACAGTCGACTTAAGGGGAAAAAAAGAAGTCTGCTGAACATACTGTTAAAACCTCTTCTCTCTCAGGACAGAAAGCCTCATTTGACTTGACAGCACTGATGAGCCATAGTTTCCATTCAGTTCTTTCCTAACATCTCAGAACTCTGTTTATTTTTGTTGAAAACATTTTCCTCTAGTGAGCTAGTGTAGGAACAATGGTGGGTGTCAGTTTTTGACAGTAGTAGAAGCAGCCTGACGCTGTTGGTGCTTACGATGAACTCTGTTGGAAACTAAACTTTCTTTTGCTTTTCCTTTTTGTTTGCTTGACGGTAGTTCAGATTAATTGGAGGTCATGTTCATGAACTTCAGTTCATGTCTTTTTTGGAGTTGACTTTTGAACAGGAGGATTGTACTTGCAGAAGCTCTTAATCTTCGTGTGGGTTTGTTTGTTTGTTTGGGTTTTTTTTGTCTGAGAAAGTTTGTGTGATGTTCCTGTGCAACAGTAATTGAAGAAAGCCAAGATGTAAAAGAGAATTTGAAAACAAAGAGCTGTTTTCTAGGTATATTCAAATCTATACACTTCATAAGCTAAGTTAGTGGAGCCACTTGACCTGTTATAAAGTGAATCGTTGGAAAAAAGGCTCTTCTTACTTTGGACTTTTGTTAACTCTGTTTTCTCAGTGAGTCTGTGCCTTGCTTTCAACTGGGATAGAGCCGATTTACTGTACTCTAGTAGCAGGTACAGTACTGTGTTTTGGATTTAGGATGAGAATGGTATTGATAACATCAACATTTTAGTTGTTGCTGAGCAGTGCTTACACTAATTCAAAGACTTTGCAGCTTCTCGTACTGCCCTGCCAGTGAGGAGGCTCTGGGGGCAGGGGTGGGGGGATGGGGTGGCAGGCACAAGAAACTGGGAAGGGACACAGGATAGCTGACCCTAACTGACCAAAGGGATATTCTGTGCTGTATGACATCATGCTCTAGGGGAAAGTTGGCTGGGGGCTGCTGCTCAGGGACTGGCTGTACATTGGTCGGTTGATGCTGAGCAATTGTTTTTTTCCATTTTCATCACTTGTCTTTCTTGGGTTTTATTTCTGCCTCTTTTTGTTATTTTGCTTTCCATTCCAATTTACTGTTGTTATTATTTCAGTTATTAAACTGTTCTCATCTCAACCTATGAGTTTTCTCACTTCTAATCTTCTGATTCTCTCCCCCATCCCTCTGGAGGAGAGTGAGCAAGTGGCTGTGTGGTGCTTAGTTGCCACCTGGGATTAAACCATGACAGTTCTTTCTGGTGCCCAGCTTTGGGCACGGAGAGTTGAGATAACAGATCTGACCAGAGCGTGTTGTAACAGATTTGTTATAAGAATTCATTATATTAGTTCAATGGTAGCTGGTTGCAGTGTTGATTGATTTGCTCTTGGAGTCATTTTGCTTGTTCTCAGAGTTGTTATGTAACACCTTACTTGCTCTACATGTTCCTGTTTGTGCTGATTATCGTCTCTGGGGGCTGGATTAAGGTTATAATTTTGCTGTACTGTATTGCACTAGTTTATGGTATACAATTACTGTTTGTGAGCCTAATCTGGTGTTTGTAGTCAGCATTGCCATCACCTTCATTTTCAAGAGCCATCTCTTGAAAACTATTAGTAATTACACTCTGAACCTTTTCTTCTCAGAGAACCTGAGAATCTATGGAGGAGACTAGGGGGGTCGCTTCCCTTGCTCCTGCACCTTCCATTTCTTCTTTATCTTCCCCTTCTCCTCCAGGCTAGTTACAATAACTGTTGAGAATTTTGAATATCCTTGGGATGTTCAAACTGGCACGTTCCTGTTGCTATGTCCCTGGCAATTCAAGAGAGACACATGCCCATGCCTACCAAGCCCTGTTCAACGCTATTCAGTACCTTCAAGGGGAAGAGGTCTCTGAAGCTGACAACAAAATGACAGGCACTCTGGCTACTCCAGCCCCCGGCGACAGGTGCTGCAGGGAGAGATTCGGTCTCTGGAGGTGACTCCTGTCAAGCATGAGGGAAAGGTGTCCCTTCGGGGAAGATGCTGTATGTCACCCAGGCATGTGGACCACCATGGAGAGAGGTATGCAATACCTGGGGGAATTAGCTGTGCTGGAGGTGATTTATGATGACCTGGACAGCCAGCAATCC